AAGTTTATCGTTTCCACATTTAAGAATGGTGAAACGTTAATGATAATCGAGGAGCTGCTCTCTATTTCGTAATCTATAGTCATAGAAGTCACCAACTGCACGGCTTCGGTTGACATGGCAATCTCTACTTCGTTGTGCCTCAGTCCGAAACTATCATCTAGTCGGATTAGATGCATATCACATGCGACAAATTGTGCACTTTTGAGGATACGGTCTGCGAGTGCTGGAAGTAAAGTAATTAGTATCGTTTTTTTCCATTCTTAATCGTATCCTATTTGCGTTTTTTCCAGATATACCGATATTTAGCCATTGGTCACACCCGAATCGCCCTGTTTCACTTCAAGTCTCATCAAGTGGTGAAGTCACAGCCGATAGAAAATCTGGAAGCATTGCGGTTGGTACCAACCACCGCTTCTCTCCAGGCAGTCACGGCTCTCGAACGATGCAAAGACCCGGTGGCCCAAGTGGCGCCAGAGTTTTGCCATTCCGCCTCGGAGAGACTTGAGCCTGTCAAAGGCTCGACGTTGCCGCAGACCGACATTTCCCAGCGTCTGTTTGAAAGATATTCATTTCATGGTTTCCGGCGATTTTTGATGCCGAAAAAGGGGTACCAAAAAAAGCAGACTTGGTCATTTCGTAAGAAAGTTGGCGAGCATCAAAGCGACAGCGAACTTTACAGTCTTGAAATGATGCAGGCTAAAAAAGGCGTAATTTTGGATAGCCAAGAAGTGGATACAGAAGCCGGCGAATCAAACGCTTCGAAGGAGGTCAAAACCAGCGCAAAAGGGCTGAATTCAAGCAAAACCGTTATGGAGACAAAATATCGAAAAGCGCTTCACCACTTACGGCATCCCTTTTCAAGATCATGTGACTCTGCTAAACTGGACGAAATTATGTATACAGGTATGTAGTTTCCCATATTACGCAAGCAGGCTTTCTCTCACTCTCTCTCTCTCTCTATCTATCTATTTATATAATTCTATTTTTCGCATTTTAGTATTGTTTCGAGACTATCAGTAAATCAGTAATATGAGATGTATTCACCCAATTTCGTGTAAGATGATGAAGGACTGGTGGAAGGAGAATTTCCCCACAACTATATGAGTTGAGCTTTGCCTTGCTTTCCCAAAAGTTGATCTCATCTCAGCTCAACTCATATCATTGTGGGAAAATTCTTCTTCTACCAGTCCTTCATCATCTTAAACGAAATTGG